ATAGAGGGAAAACAGAGAGAGATGGGAGGGGAAGGCTAGGTGGGATCAAAGGATGAAGGAACGTGGTTTTGTGGAACAGCAGCAAGGAGTTTAACAGACAATTCAGAGAACAGTGGTGTTGAGTTTCAAATCTGAACCTCAAAGGCAAGTCTCTGTTCCACTCTTTCCCTTAAATCTATGTTCTATGCATGCCTAGCTAGACTCCAGGGGTTTAATGAATGCTAAAATTAAGTAATTATGCATGCTTAGTTAGACTGAAACAGAGGGTGTGTGACTTTGTTTTCATATTTCTGTTTTGAATGATTTTGAAAATTCTTGATGCACAATTGTTGTTTAGGTTTAATCTTTGCATGTTAAAACATCTAAAATAGTTTAGTATGGACGTGTGGGACTTAAGTTGAAGCTTAGAGGCTTTAATTATAGAGTTTTAGGGTTTACAGAGGCTGAACAGATGAAGAAGATGACTTCAGCACCAACTTAGCCGACTAAGTTGGCAACTCAGCTGACTAAGTTGGAACTCAGCCGATTAAGTTGGCAACTCAGCCGACTAAGTTGGACCGCGACCTGGATGTTGGTTTTTAATTGCCCAGAATTATTTCTAAACCTATTTTAATTAATCTAAATGGGTTTAATAGACTTAGGAAGATCCCAGAATACATCTTATATCTATATATACTAAGAAGGTGGATGGTTGGGAAATTCAATAACTAATATGTTGTTTAGATTGGATGGAAGGGTAAATTTAATTACTCTGCCATTTGAAATTAATGTTTAAACGGATTAAACAATGTTTGTGAAACGTTATGTTTGTTTATCTGAGATGTATGTTAGTGACTTGGAGGGTAAGTTAGCTGCATGCTATTTAAACTGGGATATTGCTTAAATAAATGCAATACTTATCTGTATGACGTGTATCATATTATCTGTGGATTAAATTGATGTATTATTTTTATATTGCATCATTTATTGGACTGGATGGTTTAATTTTAGATCGTAATATTTCTGTTTTAATTGATGTGTTATTATTTTGTTGCATCAATTGTTAGACTAGATGGATTAATGCACCGGTATGGGACGGTGGCATTTTAGGGACGGATTAACCAAAGAAGTTAAATCCTACCTAACCTGGATTGAGGTATGGTTTAACCATAAGGGTTAAATCCATCTCCTACTTGTGTCATATCACTAAAATAATTTAATGACCTACTTTGGTTTCTGGATGGATTGTTATACAGGTATCAAGCCACTATACCAGATGGATGATATTTTGTATTCAAGGACACAGACTTTATATATTTATGTTATGGTGTCATGGTATGAGCTTGAGTCTCAAGATCATGGTTAGGGTGCGTATATCGCCTAGGATGGATAGCTAGACCGTAGTTGCTATTCCCTGGTAGGTCTAGGTACTCATGACCACGTAATGTGCAATTTGCATGGTATCTCTACTCAGGCTGAAACAGACCTATTGGACTAGTGAGCATCCTATAGTGTTTAATATATACATATATGGACTACTCTAGATATTGTTGAGTCTATCTAGGATGTATCTGCGTATCGGATTCCTGTTTGGATCGTAGTGGATCAGGACTTGCATGTGGGCTTGACCCACTCTCTTATTATTTTCAGGTGCTCGTCAGATCCAGGGTTAGAGCTTGGTCATGCAGAGTAGATACAGACTTCTATTCCACTGACTACGTAGGACTGCTTACTTATTAGCTTTGGTTCTTATTTCAGTTATTTCATTTTACAGTTGGAATCTTTATTAGGGGTCCACTAGATGGATTCCCGAGTTGTTAATTAATTGAAGGTTTTGGAGTTGGGTTTTATATTATTATTTTGAGGATTTTAAGTTAGAGTTCTTTTCAGCCATTTTTATTTATTTCTTATTATTTCATCTTATATTCTATGTTCATTAAATATTAATTGTTTGATATTTCCCTCGGGTTTGGGCCTGGGCCTGATCAACCCGTGTCTCGGATCCGAGGGGTATCACAGAATATATCAAGAGTGAACTCACATATTCCACTGAGAGTTTTCATCCGAAGAAGCAAACAGATGGTTAATCCTCTTACCTCTTTCAATTGCAGATCTCCGAACTAGGTTCTTAGTGTTGTACTTTAATAGTGTTGGAAGATTATTCTAGACTTGTCTAGATTCATCTAAGAAGACCAAGTGATACTTGGGAAGGTGCAAAGAATCTCATAATAATTGCTAGTACATGGAACATTCTGGTGTATATGAAATATTTTGGTTCATTGTGTGGTTCATTGCATGTATTAAATTCATGTACTAGAAGTATCCATTGAGTAGTATAAATAGGTGAGTCATGTAAGTATATTTCAACACACAAACAATTGAGTAATACAAGATAAAGTATTCAACTTTATAGAAGTGAGAGTTTCCCATTTGTGTTCATTTGCCCACCAACTCCAACAAAGTGGTATCAGAGCCTTGTTACAAAATCGGCAAAGAAAAATGGCATCTAACAACATGTTGCAGCCCCAACTTCCCAAGTTTAGTGGGAAGAATTACAATCAGTGGAGTATACAAATAAAGGTGTTGTATGGATCCCAAGATTTATGGGAAATTGTTGAAAACGGTTTTGAAGAACCGGAGAATCAAGTGGGGCTGAGTCAAGCACAACTCAATGAGTTGAAGGAGAATCGAAAGAAGGACAGGAAAGCGTTGTTCTTCATTTATCAAGCAGTTGATGAAGTAATTTTTGAAAGAATCTCAACAGCCATTTTAGCAAAGCAAGCGTGAGATACGTTACAAGCCACTTATAAGGGTGAAGACAAAGTTAAAATGGTGAGATTGCAAGCTTTTCGAGCTGAATTCAATACGATTAAGATGAAAGATTCTGAAAGTGTAGAAGAATACTTTAATCGTATTCTTTCGATCACTAACTAATTGAAGGTGAATGAAGAAGATATTCAAGATCAAAGAATTGTTGAAAAAATGCTTCGAAGTATGCCTAGAAATTTCGAACACATCGTTGTAGCAATTGAAGAGTCGAAAGATTTGTCGACTTTGTCAGTGAATAGCTTGATGGGATCACTCTAATCTCATGAGCTTCGATTAAAGAATTTTGATTTAACACCTCTAGAACAGGCATTTCATGCTCAAACATCTTTTAGAGAAGGTTGGAGAGGAACAAGAAGTGATCGAGGTGGTCGACGAAGAGGAAGAAATAGTGAAGGAAGAACTTTTGAGTCTAAGGAAAATGCTAATTTTCCTCCTAATAAAGGAAGAGGAAGAGGAATGAATAGAGGTCGAAGCAGAGGACAAGGAAGAGGTCGCGGTGACTCATATCATCTCCAGTGTTTCAATTGTGAAAAATTAGGGCATTTTCAAGCAGATTATTGGTTCAAAAAAATGATAATGAAGCAAGCAACAGTTGGACATTCATACACAAGGAGGAAGAAAAGGAAGAAGGAGTTTTCATGTTGGCTTGCAATACATAAGAAGAAGTTTTAGAAAATATATGGTATATTGACAGTGGTTGCAGCAATCACATTACTGGAGATAAGAACGCTTTTGTAAATTTGGATGAATTCATCTAAAGTGAAGTCAAAACTGGTGATAATAAAAGGCATTTTGTCAGAGGAAAAGGCGACATTCTTGTCAAAAGCAAGAAGGGAGTGCAGAAGATTACTGAGGGTGATATTTGGCCAAACCTAAGTGGGTGTCAGTGAAATTATTCCTTATTCTTTTACCATGTGATTTTTTTTTTTAATTGCTATATAATTCAATTCTAAAGTCACTTGGTTAGTGATTGGAAAACATCTTATCAAAATTTTAAATAAAAATATGAAAAAAAAAAATCAAAACGAATTGATACAGTAGGTTTTTACATAACTGAACTACCGATACTAATTTTTTTTTTTTTTTTTTTTTGAGAAAATGACAACATATAAAAACAAAGGTATTGATTTATATTATATAACATTAGACTGAAATACTGAAATACTGTAATGCTTTTATGAAAGCTTCCAAATGAGTGATTTTGTTGTTGGAAAAATCGTAAAAACTATTTCAAATTTTCCATTTCACAATAGTAAAAATTTATGAACATTGATTAAATACTTTCCATTCTTGGGCAGTTAAATGCTTAATATTGGGAAGGAAATTTTTTTTTGGAAAAAATCCCGTGCTTACCTAATTGGCGCGCAAGGCCCCACAATCCAATATGTCCTCACCAGGTGGTCCCCACTCACCACCACCGAATACGAGTAGTTTACATGAGTACATATACTACCCGATTGCCAACCAATTCGGTCGAGTACCTCGCCCTAGTTTATTCAATAGTTCCCCTTTCAAGTAAGGCTGTAACTAGAGCAGATTTTTCATATAACTTGAGTCTAACTCACTATATAAAATATTAAATTTAAGTTTAATTTTAATCATACTACTCAATTCAAGCTTAACCCATCCTTCTATTTTTAAATTTGGACTTACAACTCGAATTTAGATTCCGGATAAAAATTTCGAATTAATTCGGATTACTCATATGACTAATCTTTACACCGAAAATTTAATATGTTCTTGAATTAGTTTTATATTAAATTACTATTAAACAAAAAATAGTTTAAAGACTTTTTTTTTTAAAATTTTTAATAAATTATAAATAAATTTTAAAAAAATTAATTATCCTAAATGTTAACATACCATAAGTCAAAATTTAACAAAAAAAAGTTAAAAAGAAAAAAAGTAATGATAATTTAAATATTATATAATGTATTTAAAAATAAAAATATATATGAAAATAATTTTAAAATTCGGGTTTGGGTTGGCTCGAGTTACTAATAGTTCAACTCAAGTTTAATCGTAATTAAATTTGGATCAATCCACGCCCAACTCTAATTACTCCGTATAAAAATAATTACCCAAATTTATAAAAAAATCGAACTGGACACATGTTAGATTTGGGTTATCCAACCCAAGTTGCAACCCCACGGGTTTACAAAGCAGCGCCAACCCGTGGGGATATTCAGAAGGCAGCCCGACCTCACCGCTAAGACCAAACCCCGTCCCTTTAGTTCCACACACACATAGGGTTTAAGAGAGAGACCCTCATTTGCTGTTCGTTAGGGCTTGGTCGAAACTTCCAACGATTCAGCTTGACGGATGGCTTTTTGGGGTTAGCGCTCTCTCTAAATATCTATATTTGTATGTAATTTATACATTATATCATATTTTTGTATGTGTAAATTTGTATATTTACGTTAGTTATACAGACTATCAGAACTTCGTTTGGTTGCTGAGAAAAAGAACGAAAACGGAAAACAGAAGGAAATTTTTTATCATATCGCAATTTCCATCATTGTAGACATGAAATTAAAACTATGTAAAACACTAAATCGTGTCTAAGTCAGCTAATTGTATTGTCCGAATTGAGTTTTATGTTTTCTGAAAATAAATTCAAAATCAAAGATTATTTCAAAACTTTGTTTCCTTTTATTTGTCATGTTTCGTCAGGAACCAATAACAGTATGTTTTATTTCTTTTGTTTATTTTTATAATCGCTTATTTGCAGATAATCAATGTGCGTGTGTTCCTTTTGACTCCGTATGTGTTGGTGTTCATCTATTAAGAGTGCTAAAATTCATTTAATATAATTTGTCCTTTCAGGAATTGAAGTTAAACCCGGTAAACCGTTCACTCATTTGTTTGATAGGGTGAGAGGAAAACTTCACATTTCCCAGGTGTTTGCTTACTGAGAAACTTTGTATTTGCTATGTAGTTTCTTTATTGGTTTATTGCTTCATATATTTATTTATTTATTTATTGCTTGTATTTGAGGTTCTTTGAGTGATTTATTACACCCCTTATGCATTATATTTCAAATTTGTGGAAATTTTGAGATTTTATGAACTGTGATATTATTGTGTAGTTAATATGATACATTGTGATTTCTTAGGCGACATTGGGAATCAGTTCCTCGACAAAGAAGAGTTTAGTTCAGTGTAATATAGGAGATAAGAGCCCTGTTTTTCTATGCGCTTTGTTGCCTGATAAGACTGAGTCTTGCCATTTGGATTTGGAATTTGAGGAGGCTGATGAAGTTCTTTTCTCAGTTATTGGTCCTCGAAGTGTTCACCTCACTGGTTACTATGTGGGAAATAGCCGGCATTCAAATCTAAATGATGATACGTATCCTTTTGTTCATTTATAAGATTATTGTCTTTCATATTTGATTACTTTCTTGCAATGATATGCATAACCAACAAAGTGCTACGCATCATCAATGACTTGTCATGAATCTTGGGTTTTTATTATGACTCTCACGACCACCATCTTACCTTTTTTTAATTTATCTTAAATCACTATTTTCACATTTTAAGAGAGTTTTTCCTACCATATTATGCTGTTGGTTGGGTTGGTAGAGCAAAATACCACCCATAGTTCTTTATTAACTCTTTTTATTTTTGAAGGGTATTTTTGGGAGCTACTAAAATATAGTTCTAAATTTCCGTACAGTTAAGAAAAGAAAGAGGCTCTTGCAAATGCGAGAGAGTGGGATATAGTGTGGCACCCCATTGTGGTGCTGGGTCTAGGGAGTTGATTTCTTCCAAAGAGACTTTCTTCCTTTCTTGATGTAATAACTCATGCAGAAATTTCAAGGCTTATGGATGGTTGGACTTGCTATTACAAGTTGGTCCAGCATACATATTACATACTATCATGTATGTGATAGCAGGTTGAAATGAAGTAAAGAACTGCAGTTTACAACGGTTTGGAATTCTTAAGCAAATTAGAGAGATGTTTGTGGTATTCACTCGGTTATTTCATGGATAATCCACAAAATTTCTACTTTTCAAGTTTGTAGTGAACTACTTCCTTACCAGTTTGCTCATGGATGTAGTTCTTTGTCAAATAATGTAACCTTTGTTCTTGCTTGTGACATGTTTTGTTTATTTTTCTTCACTTCTTTGATTTCACACTTGCACATGATCTTGGAGGTAAGGTCGCTCCATTTTTGACGTGGAGATCAAGGGTTTGAAACAAGGAAACAACCTCTCTGCATGCGGAGATAAGGCTGTTTACATCTAACCCTCCCCTAGACCCTGCAATGGCTGGAGTCTCAAGCACTTTTGCCCGTAAATTTTTACATGATCTTGGGGGTATTGTGCGTATACATTCCTAGCGATATCATATTTCCATAGTTGGTGTGCAAGATGTTTGATGGATTTCTTGTGGTGCTTCCAGGTTAAGTATTTTGGTGGCATATGATGTATCTAGTTTTAGGTAGAGAATCTTGAAACAACATTACAATTCAACAGATGCATCGGAGTTGCTTTAGTGGTCATGGTTGTAGTCAAGCATAGAACTTGTGTTGCTACCTTGATTGTAGTACTGCATTATGTCTACAAGCGGATATTGGATTAGTTTAGTTTGATGAGTTTTTAGATTAGAAAGTGAATCATGGGTTTTCCCATTGAGTATTCTCATGGTGTATTGATGTGGGGGGACAATCACCTAGGTGGAGGTGATGGGTTGGCATTGTATGGGTGGTTTTGACCATCAAGTTGAAGATTTGTCAAGTTGGTCATTAGTGATAGTATAATCACGAGTTCAATCCAGGGTTCTTTCTTAGTATGTTATTGGTGATTTTTCATCGTTGAGTACCAATATACGGTGTATATCAAGGCTCAGTGATCGTGGGCGTCGCCATTAGCAATGTCAATTTAATTTACCTTGGGTTTGGGTGCATTCTAATTAGGTTAGTTATGGGAAAAGAGTGAAAACCCTGAACCACCCCTATTATTAACTAAAGCCTTTTTTTTTCATGCCAATTTACAATTTTAACTACAAAGTTAAGATTATTATTATTATTTTATATGTAAGAATATTTATGATTATGTTTGTAAAGTATTTTTTTCCTAGTTGTTTGTAAAGTATTTGTTTATAGGTAGATTCTTCTAAAACTTTACGATCAATTTATCGGACTTTTTTTTATCTAAATAGTATGCATAGTGGGGTGAACTGATCTAGGACCCAGGGCCTATGAGGGGTGGAGTGGGCTTGGGATAGGGTGGCCTGCTTGAACCTGCCCTGTTACAACCCTAGTTGCCATGACATGTGAGAGACTAATGGATTGCAGTCCTGCAATGGCTTTGAGTTTTTTGATTGAGTTGTAAGATGCAGGCTGTAATAGATTTAACCAGATTATCTTATGGAATATGGATGGTCAAAATGGTGAATATTACAATCCCAGCATTATCTTATTTTTTTTCCTCTCGCCAAACCAGTTAAACCCGTGTTCTTGATTGTGCTTCTGATTTTCAAACACTTTCTTTGATTACACAATTGCACAGTGTCTTGGGTGTTTTTTACATATTTATTTATCCCTAACAATGTTGGGGACTTGTGACAATTCTATTATGAGGAATATCTTCATCCTTCTGCTTACACTTGTATCAGAAAAAAGAGCGACATCATTGTCCATTTATTCAAGTGTTCTCTTTGTTTTGGTTGCTATGTTTCTACTTTTCCTTTACCATGATTGCAAAGAGATTCCTATGGGCAGGATATTGCAAACACTGAGACAGAGGAATCTAATCATCGCAGTGATGAAGATGAATACGACGATAGTTTTATTGATGATAGTGATCCAAAAGTTTTCCCACATTCGCCCGTTTCAAGTGACGGAGGTCTGTTCTGCACCTGATACACATCCTTTATCCTATTAAATCCACAATTGTGATTATTAAATCCACAATTGTGATTATTAATTAACTCTGTCTTTTTAACTTCATAGCCTTCTATTGAAAGAATGCGGAGAAAATTATATATGTTTTACACATCACATTGTCAAATTACTTGATTTTTGTTTTGTTTGCTATTATAATCCACTTATACTTTGTTGTTTTGTTTGCTATTATAATCCACTTATACTTTGTGCTACTTCAAATATGGTAAGAAGACTTTATCAAAAAAATATACTGTATATGGTAAGAAGTCCAGTGCCTAATTTATTTTGTTTGGACTTGGGTGACACCCATTGCAAAGGTTGTTCCTGTCTATTGAATCAGAGTCTAGATGTTAACAGATTTTACAACTCTATTAGCGAATCATAGTTAGATGATCTGCATAAAATTCAACTCTGCATGATTTTAATGGAAGGTTTTCCTTTCCAATAATTTAGACATGCCTCAACCCAAATGAGATAAGTTTTTGGGTTTTTCTGTTGCATAACTTGATTTTGCGTGGTCCATGTTCATTATAATAGTGCATTTATTAAGCAATATCCTTTTTTTTTTATTTTTTTTTTATTTTTACCTTCTGAGATACCTTGCTTCTGATTCCAGTTGTTGATGAGGAGATGCTGGATAACAAGAAGCCAAAGGACAGGAAAGGCGGCCGTAAACGACTTAAGAAGAAATACCAGTCTGTTTTGTCAGATGATGACAGTAGTTTTTTGCAGGAAAAAATTGGCAATGCTAGTAGGAATGTTCCAGGACCAGAAAGAGAAGGGGAAGACAATTGCCCCATTTCATCTCTATACAAGTGTAAATCAACTGAGACAAATGTGATATTGAAAGCAGAAGAAAAGGCTGACAGGGTAATAGGTGAGACGGGCAACAAGACAGAAAACAATGGCACATGTGCAAAGACTGAAGATGATGGCACTCCTGTCATTGAATCAAAAGGAAAACCTAATGTTGTTATAGATGGTGAGCCAGAAAGGTGAGTGTGTTATAACTGATCAGTCACAACATATTCTCTGCATGAATTTGGCAAGTTCCTAATCCCAGTACTTCCTTTTGGCTCTTCTTGTTTGAAGTTTATGGAGACTGACCATCTCTGAACAAAGAAGTTGATAATCCATAAATTATTAAACTTAAAGAAACAAGCCTTGAAATCACTAGCATATACTCGTATTGGGGAATTGTAGTGATGCATGCATGGACATCTTTTTGCATGACTGTGTCACTTGGAGAATTTTGCTGATCATTCTTTTCATTGCTTCTGTTCATATCATTTGGTGTATCAAGCAGGGGAAGGGACCCGCAATACAGTTCTATGCAGCCATGTGATGAAGTGAGCCCTGAGAATGACCCAGAGCCAAAGAAGAAAAAACAAGAACACAGTGAGGGAAAAACTCTTGAAACTGGTAGTATTAATTTTAGCAATGCGTTCAATGAGGATAAAATGCAGCACGAAGAGGGAAACGCTGAGAGTAACAGCCAGTATCTGCTTGTTAGAAATGAACAAGATGAGAAGCTAGCCACTGATAAGTGAGTATTATAGTCTCTATTTGGATGTTGAATCTAAAATATTGCATGCAAAAGTGCATATACACACATTGTATCTTATTGGTAATTCTGTTATTTGATCATTGTTTTTCTTCGTCTTATATGGCATACCAAGCAGAGGATCAAACCTGACATATAATTTTTTGTCCAATTCTACTGAATTGGGCACTGGAATCTGTACAAAGCCTAAGAAGAAAAGGAAAGAACGATCTGAGGGAAAAACTCTGGAGTCTGATAGTTCTAGACATTGCAGTGCCCTTGAAGAGGATAAAACCCATCAAGATGAAGCGGTGGGTACTACCACGGACCATGAGCTTGTGAGAAATAAGAACAAACTGAAGCCAGACACTAATAAGTGAGTATTATCAGTTCCTGTAAAGCTGTGACATCTAATTGATTCAGCATGATGCGTGCATAAGTACAGACATGAAAACATTGGATATTTTTGATGATTCTGTTTGTGTCCACTTGATATGACATGCTCAAGCAGGGGAACTGACTTGTCATATAATTCCTTGCTGTCTTCTGCTGAAGTGGGCTCCGAAAATGGCACAAAGTGGAAGAAGAGAAGGAAAGAATGGGCCGAGGGGAAATCTCTTGAGGTTAGCAGTGCAAACCATAGTAATATTCTTGATGAAGGCCGCCAAGTAAAGCAGGACGACGCAGAGACTGGTAAGAGGGGCATGGATCTGCCAGATAGAATTGAACAAGATCAGAAGCCATCCAATGATAAGTGAGATTTTTCTCCTCTCTCCCCTTAAGTTTTGATTAGATCCTCGTTTTTGTTGTGACATCATCAACCACCCACCCTGTCCTTCCTTGCAGAGCGAGGAAATGTATATCTGAAACGTTAGCTTTACAACTATTCTATTTGAAACCAGATAGAACGTTTTTACCCTCCCAATGTCCATTTTTATCTCTTCACTCGAAACATATGCAATAGCTCTGACTATTGCAGCTCACTTGTCAATCTTTGTCCATTTGCGGTTCCTATAGTGGGTGTCTTTCTGTTCATTCATACGTTCTTGTCCTCATCTGCTGAAACAGTCATTTTCTATGCTACCTTTCTTATCGTATATTTAAGATATAATATTTTTGCTCTGATTGTTGTAGAAAAATTTAACTCTACATTTTGTGCAGGACTATCAAAATTGACTCCGAGCAGTCAGCTGGTGGAGACCAGTCGGTGGAGAAGAAAATTAAGAAGAAAAGGAAGAGTAAAACTCTGGAGGAAAATGTGAATGTGGATGTACCTATGTTGTCAACAGGAGAAAAGAACAAGACCAGCTTGGAATCCAGGGATAAGAATTCAGATTCCAAGTTATCTCAAACAAGAACCTTTTCTAATGGATTAATTATTGAAGAGCTAGAAATGGGTAAACTTGATGGCAAAATGGCTGCTCCAGGGAAAAAGGCAAGTTTGTTTGTTAACCGACTTAAGATTATGCTGTTTTGAATGATTATTGGTATATGTAGTCATCCAAGTCAAGATCGTGAACAGGAAGATTAACTTGGACCATATTGTAGAGAGGAGCACCCAGACATACATATTTGTTAATTGAATACACTCTTATTTGTTTCAGGTCAAAGTCCATTACCTTGGTAAGCTAAGGGAGAATGGAAAAGTTATTGACTCGAATATTGGCAAAGCGCCCTATAAGTTTCGCCTAGGTATTAACATGACAAAATAATATATATATATATATATATATATATATATATATATATATAGCCAGGATATTTTACCAAGTCCTTTCATGTTGTTCATGCAGGTGCTAAAAAAGTTATTGACGGATGGAATGTTGGTCTTGATGGTAGTTACCTGAGTGACTGAAATCAATTCTCCCAAGTTCCATTTTATACTTTCTGTTTATTTATATTTCACAAGGTTAGCTGTAATCATAACCTTAACCTCATTTGTGCGTAACTCTCAGGTATGCGAGTCGGTGAGAAAAGAAGACTCTTTATCCCACCATCAATGGGGTAAATTATTGAATATCTTGCTAAGAAATATCTTCAGAGGTTTATATTTTCTTTCCTGGTTTTTAATCTCCATTGGATGACACTTTCTATTGTTCTTGATTTGCAGATATGGAAGTCAAGGAGCTGGTGAGAATATACCACCAAATTCTTGGCTGGTATATGAAGTTGAATTGGTTGATGTCCGCTGATTCAACTGATTCGTTGTTGCAGATTGAACCTGAAAAAGAGCAACTATAGAGCGAATTATCATTTCTGTGCTAGATTGGTGGGGAGGTAATTTTATGACAAAATGAGCTACAGTGGTTTTTGTTTTGTTTTTTTTTTTTTTTTTTTTTTTTTTGTATGGTGGAGTTCCGAGATTATCCTGATGCTTCATTTTGTCCCTAAACAATGAATGTGTGGTGATTATGACAAAAATTCCAAGTTTTTTATTTATTTATTTTTTATTTTTAAAGATAGATTATAGGTATAGCTTTTTAACTGCAAGCAGTGAAATTTCATAGGTTTTAAGTGAAAGCATGGAGTTAAGAGATTATCTCCATGCTTCATTTTGTCCCTAAACAATGAACGCGTGGTGATTATGATACAAGTTTCAAGTTTTTGAAGATAGATTATAGGTATAGCTTTTAACTGCATACTTGAAGGAACTGCACGATCAATGAAGCAGAATTATATGCAAAGTGTTCCCTGTGAGTAAAATGTCACAAAAAAGCCACCCTAATTGTTCAAGATTTTACTGGAATGAGAATGGAAATAATTATATGCAATTCAAAAATTTTATTTTTCATATCCTTGACTGCTTTACTAACCCATTTTGGGCTATCCCTGCGAGGCATCATGGCTTCGAAATCTTGAACAGGAGTTGAGTCCCCTATTTTCTTGACTTTGAAAGCAGATGCATTTTTTATAGAATTGACAGCTTCAGCAACATAATCATTCCCAATAGCCTCCCCCTCCTCATTTGATGCATAAGGTTTATCTCTTAATAAGCTTCTAGTTGACTTCTTCAGCTGCAAGACTGATCAAGTTTAAAACCCAATGTTTAAAGAAATTGATAGCACTATACAAATTTTTTAATTAGAACTGCTTCGGTAAAAATGACCTTCGGATTCTCCTTGAGTTCAAAGTGCCTGCGAAATTCATGAATGGCAGACTTGCTTTGCAACAGAAGTTCAGTTATCTTCTTGAGAGTGTCATCAAGTGGAGGCACAACTGCATCTGGCTGCTTTGATTTCACTCAAGGTGATGATAAAAGCGCTGAAAATGTACAATATCTGCCATTACAATCAATCCTATAGAAACCATGAGGAAAAAAAAAATTCAGACTTATTTGAACATGGAAAGCCATCAGGCTAAAGCTCAGGGGAGGCTTTTATTTCGTTTAGTGCGGGCTGTCACGCTAAAACTACCTTTTGAGATTGTAGACCACTGTGAACACAGCCAGAGAGAACAAACTTCAGAGTATAGGCCTGCGATGGCAACTCTAGAGGACACGGACCTCCTATCCCGAGCCTGTTCCGCTAAAGTTCCAATTCCATCCCCAGCCCGTCCTGCCTCACTTACTAGAGAGTTGAGTTCAGATTACTAGATATGTGAGAAGGTGTCAACCTAAGAAGCATGGATACGGATGCAGACATGAACACAATACGATACGGGTACAACACATTAAATTCTCAAAAAGTAGGACATGACTAATATAAATATAAATTTTCATTTATGACAATAATAGAATTTTAATTAACTATAAATTCTATACAAAGTTACATAGGTTAGAAGATGATGTTGTGTACACAAATTTTGTATCTGTAAAACAAAGAACAAAATATGAAGCAAATATCAATTTTATTAATTTTGTAAAATTTGGGTACAATCTTTTGTGCTTGATTCTATTACAACATAAGATCTTCCTCTGATTAACAAGAAACGAAAAATTCCATAATTAACTATCTACCACTTAACTCCAGTTATAGATAAATAAAAAAACCAAAACAATGTATTCAACAGAAATCACTAAGGGAGCATGAATAAGGAAGTAGGCATACTTGCTCAAGAATACAACCCTTGCGCAGACATGTTAACAGCTTTTATAAATGTAAAAGTTTATTGCCCATTTGACATTTCAAATATAACACATTTTTGTGTCCGCACCAAAGGCGCATCGAGGGGATGTACTATGAATTTATATATTGCAAGTAGATAGGGACAGATTCTATTGTTATATATATATATATATATATTTCATTTGACATATGCGCACGTCAGAGCCTTTGATATGAAGGGTCTTGCAATGGAAATACTGTTGTTATGTTCATTGTTTCCTTTTCTTGAATTATTCTTATTATATATATGTGTCGTGGTTCAATTATTTACCCACCAAAGATTAGTATATATATATATATATATATATATATATATATATATATGTTTTGATTTTATGTTGTTGGTTAATATGTGATTAATATTTCTTAGTTGTATTAGGGTAATTCTGAAGGGATTTTTTTTAGGATTACAGATTTCTATATACGTTGAATACAAATTGAAACTTATTGCCGAAAGAATTGTGCAACTGTTATGGAATTCTCTCACAACGACCGCTTCATACATGTGTCAGGCATGTGCACCATTTATACGCAAAAGACATAAATACCCCTGAAATGACATGATATCATTATAAATCAGATTTGTGACTGGTTTAACCTGTAACTATAATGCAACGTATCTTCTTCAATGAATTTAAAAAGAGCTCACACGAATTGAAAATGACTACTGCCCCTGAATATACCAGAATTGACATGAGCACACCAGAACTTGTAGAATATCTCAGGAATGGACCTTGAGCTAATTTTTGACATTATAAAGGTAAACCATGAATTAAAGGCTGGGGCCAACAGTTTACGGCAAAGAAAAAAAGGCAAGGATGGACGCAAAAGGTCATTCACAGCAGTCCAGAGTCAATTTTCATGAAACCTTTGCATCAGTTGCTCGCCTTGATACCATTAGACCTCTTGTTGCTTTGGCAGCCCAAAAAGGTTGGTGGTTGGACCAAATTGGCGTAAAATCAACATTTTTAAATGGAGAACTCAAGGAAGAAGTTTATGTTGAACAACCCAAAGAGTTTGTCATGGAAGGAGAGACAGAAAAAAGTAAATAAATTGAAAAAAGTTTTGTACGGGCTGAAGCGAACTCCACGGGAATAGTATTAGCCAAATTGATTCTTATTTCATGGAGAAGGGCTTCAAGAAAAGTAAGAGTAAGCCAACCTTGTATGTGAATATTCAAGGTAACTTCATTCTCATTGTTACTTTATATGTTGATGATTTATTATTTTTGGGAAACAATTCAAAGATAGTTTAAAATTTCAAGAAAGAAATGATGAAAATGGATAAGATGAGTGACATGGGGCTGCTACAACATTTTATTGGCATTGACATATTTCAAGGGGAAGATGGAGTTTTTATTTCACATACCTCTTGTTGTGAATGACAAGCTTATTAAAGATGATGGAGAAGTGATGGTTGATACAACTTTGTATACAAGTTTGGTTGAAAATTTGTTGCATCTCACAGCCACAAGGCCGGACATTATTATGTTTGCAGTAAGTTTATTGTCAAGATTTCATTTTGATTCAACAAAAAGAATGCTGAGACATATTCGTGGCACCATCAATTTTGGGATCATGTATTTCAGAGGTTCGGATGTAGAATAATAAGGATAGTGTGATAGTTATTTGGGCAGTTGTATCGATGACATGTATAGTACATCCGGATATGCATTTTTTCTTGGTTCATGTGTGTTTTCCTGGGCATCAAAGAAGCGACAGTCTGTTGTTCAATCATCTACAAAATCTGAATATGTTTCAACTCCCATGGCAACTTCACAAGCAATTTGGTTCAGAAGCATTTATGAAGATGTTCAAGAGAAGCAACAAGAAGGTACACAGATTTTTGTGGCAATAAATCAGCTATATATTGCTATGGCCAAAAATTCAATTTTTTCGTGGACGTGCTTGCCACATTGCTATTAAGCATCATTTCATTCGAGAAGCCATTGAAGAGGATGAAGTGCAACTCCCATTTTGCAAGTTAGAGGATCAAGTTGCTAACATCTTAACAAAACGCACTTTCCAAAATAAAAATATGTGAAGTTTAGAAAGTTATTGGGAGTTGAAGAGCAGAGCAACACATTAAAGGGAAGCATGTGAGGTTAATGTGTTGGAACTCTAGTTAGTTTAATTTAACTTTGGCATTGAAAATATAATATTTTTGTAATATGTTATATGGTTGAGAAGTGTGCTCATTATTTTGGTATCTTTCCAATGTTTTGAGAAGTATAAAATGTACTAGACTCTTGGAGTTAAAAAAGATATTATTAATGAAAAAGAAGTAGTTTTCCTCTATTCATTAATGAAAAAGTAGTAGTTTTCCTCCATTCACCCCCCCCCCCCCCCACCCCTCTCTCTCTCTCTCTCTCTCTCAATCAGATTTTATTCATTCAAAATATATGTTGTTGATCGGAAATGTATAAAATATTATCCAACAATTAGACACTATAGTTTTTGGAAAATGTTATACAAAAAGGTATGCTTGAACAGTTTTTAACAAAGGTTAAACAATTATAATATAAGATTGCATAATTTTTGAAAAAGATTGCATAACTATAACGTAAGGTTACACAAATTTTTTAAAAATATTGTACACAAATTTTTTAAAAATATTGTACAAAATGTAAGGTTGCACAATTTCTAACAAAGATTGCACAGCAATAACATATGATTGTATAGTTTTCCAAAAAGATTGCACAATTATAAGGCAAGGTTGAAGGAAAATTTAGCCCGTACCCTAGCTAATATATAAGGTTTCACTTGGGATAGTTTTTATAGGACTGGGACAGAAATAGTAAAAAAGAATTCAAGTCAACTTGGATTAGGGCTGCAACTCGGGTGGGTTGGGCGGGCCTGGCACTCATTTCGGGTTAGGCTTATATAGAAAATCCATAACTTGAACTTGAAACCTTAAGCATAAATCCTAAGAACACTATCAACTTGACTACTACATTCTTGTGATTTAAGTATAATTATAAATACATATAATATTTTCGGACTTGGGTTGAGCTTCGGGCTTCATCCATATCTACCAAAGCCTAGCTTGAATTGAATTCGGACTCAAAATATATAACCCAGACCCAACTTGAAATTAGAAAAACGTTGCCCAGCTCCGGTCATTTCGGATTGGGCCCACCCGAGTTGCAGCCTTAACTTGGATTGACAGGGGAAGGGGATGGGTTTTATGCTATCCTATACGCGCCGTTGACCCTTAGTGTACACACACATACGTACGTACATATATATGTATATTATCCACACACACACATCTATATATATATATATATATATATATATCTACAATCACTATATTTATATATACGACATCCCTCTCACCCGAGCCCTACTTGTGTAATGATATAGTTTCACCATCTTCACTGGTACTGTTATCCCCCATTTGCAGGGTTTGTGTTTGTGTATATTCACGATATTATTTATATATCCAATGGTGATCATTTGCTTGAATGTTGGTGTTGCCTTAATCTATAATGGGTTTGACAAGAAATTG